ATATATACGTATGTATGTATGTGTATGCAAACACACACGGAGACTGCGGCTCAACTTGACCTCATCTAATTGAAAACCCATTAAAAAGCTTTCAGCTGCTCATTATACATTTAAATATTCGCTGTATTTATTTTTCGGTGTACGAGTACGTATCGTACCCCATCCCGATCCGTTCCAACATTCTTTCGTCCATGGTTACGCCTACCTCCGCCTTCATCATACATATTCCAAGTTATTTTAATGCTTCTCATTTTTAAAGTTCATAAAAAATTATTTACAGCAAGCACAAGTCCACAGAGCACATATTGACTATAGGAATACCCTCGATTGGGAAAACATCGAAAAAAAATCATCATGCAGTGATTCAATGTCAGAGACATTTCAGTTGAAATTATTAATGCATATCTGATGGCGATGCATAATACATAATATGTATACATTAAATAAAATAAAACTAAATTGTGGAATAAATATATCACTAAAGTTCTGAATACCCAAGTTAGTTTTTCTCCATTTCTGTACCCTTGTTCGTGTTGAAAGGTAAGTGACTATTTTCTGCGCTTTCGCGATAACAATATACCCTTTCACTCTTTGAGTACCGTGCAAAACTTCCGCGCAGATACGCACAAACACATGTTTGACATGCATTTATGCTCAGGTAACTGCATATTTTCCTTTTTCCATATTCAACAGCAGAGGGTGGGGGTAGGGGGGCTCCTTTTTAATGCATTGACTTCATGCATAAATTCATATGAAACATTGCAGGATGAAAGTCAAACAGCTGACTTATAATGCCAACTTCTGAACAGCATTATCTGCTGCATATAAAAAAAGCTCTGAATTCAGAACTACCAGAAGGACAGGCTATGCAGGAAGGTATAAAATCTGTGGCTACTTCATATACATATGTATGCATTTGTTTAGAATTTCCATTAGCCATAAGAGTACAAGTAACCCCTCCCAACTGAGGAGTCGCTTTCTGAAATTATCACACTTAAAATCCGTCCAAAGTATCCCCCCATATCTAAGCCGCATTGAAAATGCATATCCAATACACACCAGAATCCCCCACTGACAATCTTGAATCGACCTGTTGGTGATACGCTAACCGCTAATGCTATAAACGCCCGAAACAGATTGCGCAATTATGACAGGTAGCTTCAATGAGGGGACTTTCCGGGGCAACAGAGTCAGACACAGAAAGAGAGAGCGAGAGAGAGGGAGCGAGAGAGATAGCGACAGACACACACGCATTCCGTTAAGATTCCCTGTCTGCTTCATGTGGCAGGGGTCAGCGAGGAAAGGCTTTAAGCCACTTAACGAGATGAAAGCGTCATCAAGTATGCAATGCGGAATGGAACGGAAGACAGGTCCCTCGAACGACACAGAACTAACGATTAGGGGTGGTAAAAAGGGGCAGAATAGAGATGTGAGGTGAAAGTGGAATGGTGATGGGGATGGTGTGGCAAATAAAATATTAATAATTTTGTGCGGGCCAAAAGCGTAACTAGACCAGAAACGGCTCGACAGGTGTCGTGCTTGGCTTTCACAACAATAAACAAAGTATCAGAGAGGGGATTCGATACGATACGTTGGGTGTAGAAGGTTAGATGGTGGGGGTATTTTTAGGAAGGAGGCTACCAAAGCGTCACCTTCTGCGTGCCTGAGACTTGGACACTGCGTTTGCGTTTCAGGTTGCCCAATCTTTGGGGAAATTAGTTTAAAAGGTCAAAACCAGATGGAACAAGAGGAAGCGCAAAGAAATTAGCTGCGTAACTAACTTGTAAACTGATTATTTATGATGCCAATTGAGGAGAGATACTCCTAACCCTCTCTCCGCCTCTTTCTCTCTGACTGCCAATTTTACCCACAAACAATTTTATTACACTTGCTCGGTGGAAAATAAAATTATAAATTGCACTAAAAATTAACAACTTCACCAACAATTCCACTTAAAATGTTTATTGCGCTCATTAATTTTTTGGTTGTTTTTTGGAGAGTTGTTGCCGGTTGTTTGGTTGTCGGTTGCTTTTTGGCCAATACAATAAAAATAGAAATGGCAGAAAGCACAAGTCGACTCGAAGAGGAAGACTCAAGCGCAGAGGAGGTGGAATAAGTAGAAGCTCTGAAATTGCATTAAAGTTTCAAGAGCTTTAATTTGTGCAATTTTCTCATTCTCTTCTCTCGTTTTCCCCTCGTCTCACTCTCTCTCTCTCTCTCCCCGTCTTGCTGTCTCCCTTCTGCCGACTGTGTCTGGGACTTGGCTTAATGAAAATTCCGAGCAGGCAAAATATAATTTATGCCTTCTATATGCTTTATTGAGTGCGATTTATACGGCACCAGGACGACATCGGACAGAGTCAGCCAATTCACTTTGAACACAATGTACACAGTGAGTCCGGAAAGTTTTTGGACAATGAAAATACAAAAATTATGGTTTTAATTATTTGTATATATATATAGTTTCATACGTGGGAACTCATAAGATCGAATCTGTGAGAGTAAATCATATGAAATGCACCATAGAAACAATCTCTCTCAAAAAGACTTTAAAGCAGTTCCTTAATATTTGAAGGACAATTTCTGACACTTAAAAATAAAAACAACTTCTTTTTATGATACTGAAACTTTTGACACTCGTAAAATTACTAGCCACGGTTCAATACCGATTTTATTCTTGTCAAATAAATGACAGTAAATCTTTCCCAACATTTGAATACTCTCCCGACATACTGTCTGTATACTCGTACGATAACGAAAACATCATCAACACAGTGTTATTGTGCATAAAATATATGTACATACTGGCCAAAATGAAATAAAATAAATTTAATATTAATATTAACAATGCCGCTGATGCGCATGATGTCAGTCGACGTAAATAAAGCCGACTTAAAGTTTTAATGAAGCGCATAAATAAAATCTGTAAATAAAGGTATTTGTTTTTATTTGGCAGCCAGTGTTGAACAATGACCAGTCATTGTGAAAAATACGTACAAAAAATTAAACATCATATTGATATCACATGATTAAAGAAGTGAGCGTAAATAGCCTGGTTTTCCAAGCCGTCATGCATATAGCGGGAATGATGTTGAATTGCTGCATTAATGAAGTTCCTCTCGGACATAATTAGCGAAAGGATAAGAAAGTGAAAGACATGTCAGGAGCGATGTGGCCATGAACGTAATAGTATATCAAGACAGAGCAACTATAAGAGGGAAGCTTCCACCAATTTACCTGTATCTCTGTTGAAGAGTGATTCTTTGAGTGGAATTTTATGCTCTTATGAAGTGTATTAGTAAACGTATGGAAACTTAATCATGGAAATATTCAATTTTTTAAATTAGTATAAATGACATCAAGTGTGATCAAAATCCTCTTCAATTTGAACACTTGCGAGTTTAAAAGGGAGCAGCATTTGAGCGAATTCTAAAGGAACCTGTTTTAAGCTCTAACAAAAAACCCCACATAGAACAACGACTGATGTGAGAGGCCTAGAACACGATGCGCCATTAGGCCCGGAAATGGAAATGTGGGGAAAAAAGAAGAAACTAGAAAAACTACACTTCTCTAACTCTTTCTTCAATTCTTTGCCCGTGTCTTTTTGCACTACTGTGTTTCTCTCTTTCTTCATGTTTCTGTTTCTGTTTCTTTCTGTCGTCTTTTGCCTTCTGCTGTCTTTTTCTGCGTGTAAATTGGTGCTTAAGTGCAATGCAGGCAACAAGCCAAAGGGAAAGCATTGCTCGGAATCGAGTGACACATGCAGGTGAGCCTTTCAAGACAGACAGACAGTCGTATAAGAGAAAGTGAAGAAGAGAGACTCGTAGCGGTGCAAGGGATAGGAAAGATTGAATTGAATGTTGAATGGAAAATGGCTTAAAGCAAACCCAGAAGCCGAGCTGCAACTGAAGGATGACTCACAGGTGAGAAAAACCATCAATATATGTTTGAGGAACCAACGGACAGAAATATCTGAAAATAGAAAAACAAACGAATAGAAATATGTACATATGTATGTATATGTATGTACCATATTTATAACATTTTCCTTCCTTCGAATTTTCAAGATCTCTTTTCTTGGAAGTGTTTTTCGCCTGACTTACAAACCAGTCCTATCCCAAAAGTAATACATCGAATTCGAATCTACATCCAAAAACTTCCGTAGCTAAATGTGAAAAATGGCACTACGAAACTGTTGCTCCAAAAACAACCACCTGAACGTGCATTCCCCTACAGAGCTCATCTGCAATTTTGAAACTTAACCAAATGTCACTTTGTTTTCCTTCTCTGCTTTTTTTTTTTGGGTGGTCTTTGCTTTGCGCCTTGTTCCCTGTTGGTTCTAAATCTCCCTCCTTGGTTGTGTAGTACGGTCCCGCACCTGGCGTCAGGACGGGCTTACTAATTGCTCTTGCGTTGGTGGATTGGCTTGAGGGCTTTTGCTGTTCCGTCTGGTAGCGTCGTGGTGGTTTTCCGTCCGCCACTTCTTCGAGGGGCAGTCTCTTCAATTCGCAACGCTTCGGTGTCCTCGGCGTGGGGTGCCACCGTGCGGGTCTGTCGCGTCGGCGAGTACTCAATCATTTTGGCGTCGTTGCATTCAGCTTTTTCAATTCTCGTTGTATCCTCCTGTGGGGCGCATTGCGCTACCGGATTGTTAGTCAGTACCGTTATCCACTTCAAGAATTTGCTGCAAGCAAATGCAACACTCGTAAGTTCCATAAGAAATGCACCTGTTCACTTACCGCTTTATCAGGTACGGCATGGTCTGGACCACTTTGATCATTTCGCAGACCGTCTTGTTAGAAGGCACTGGGTTGCACGTCAGAGCTGGGCATCCGGCGACAATGCTGGTGGCGCCCTACCTTTGAGCCTGGGGCAGGACAGGAATGCTTAGCTGCTAGCAGCACACCTCTTCGAGATCTCTTCGTATTTCCATTGCAGATTGATCTTTTCTATGACGATGCTGAAACCCAAGTCCAACCAGAGGTGATCTGTGCTCAGCTGTGAGTTTCTACATTTTATTAGTTCTTGTTAAGTAAGGAATACACTTGATTGATTGATTTTAGAGTACGTCAGATCAACACGGTTCAGATTATGTTGGAGGTGTGAATCGTGCTTGTGGTTCTTCTTCTTGTAGCTTTGATCTGCGTGACATCGCCTCGTTTCAAGCGCTGACAATGGATGCCGAGCTACGAAGCAGCACATAAATCTTATCCTTGATCCACTCCTTGTTGAACGGAGCATAGGTTTTGGTGGTCTTCTGGTACACCAAGCAGCAGATGTCCTTCATCGTATCGATGAAATCGAAAAGCTGACTGATTTCGTATTCAATTGTCAGTTTGTTAGGGTAGAGTCGCCTGAGATACTCCTCGTAGCTCTTGCACATGCCCTCCATGCACTCGTTGACGCTCTCGTAGTCGCAGAAAGTGCGAGTCTCCGGGCGAGCCCCAGGCTGTACGAGTAGAATAGTGTGCGACATCTTAGATTGTGGGCCTGGATGGGATTCACTTATTGGTTGTCTGCAAGAAGAGCGGTTGGGGGCTTTATATTCATTAGCCTGTGCAGCTCTAATGCCTTAATTTGTACATTCTGAGTTCAGGGTGTGTTTAATTCGCGTGGTTTTGCCCGAAAACTTACCAATCCTTGCAGCGTACGCTTTTTTCGGATAAATTAATTGAAACAACAGCTGTCCCACTAGCGATGACAATATAGGACTCGGAGAGAGGTGGCAAATCCAACGATAGTTCAATTGCATCAGAAGAGCTTGCAGATATTTTTTGGATATAACGTGTTAAAGCCTTTTCACACTCTGCGCGTTTTCTATCGATATCGGAACAGACGCAAATCAACAGAATAATGCAAGACGACGGCAAAATGGATCAAAGACAAGTGATGCTCATATTTATTTATTACTTGCAGACATTTCTTTGTAGTTGGGAGTTCTTCTTCACACCATGAAAACCATCGAAGTTCTATCCAGAAGTGTTTGAATAGCCTCAGGGGCTCAGAGAATTGTCTTATAATAATAATAAAATTAGTTTAAGGACTTATGTTATGTATACTTTTACCTTTTCCCACAACCATAACTTTTTAGCGCCAAAATTTTATCTTTGATTTGCAAGTTTTTTTTGTTATTAGGGGTGAAAGTTGCGCTGATAGGCAGAAAAGTGCAGAATTGTGCAATTAAGCGCAAAGGCAATCGAATATTTCGAAAATTGCGTCTCCGTCAAGATGCAAAGAAGCATGACACAGTCCCAGTCTGAACAGCTTATAAATATATATAAATAAATAAACTTTAATTAGATCAGAGATATAATGGTGCAATCCTATATGAAACAGCTAATCAACGGAATCCAATCCAAACAGACAGCACTCATAATACACTTTATCATTATCCGTTGTTATTAATTTGGCGGAAGGTGTATATTTTTCGTTTAAATCATTTTTTAAAAGATCACCTTTTCATATTGAAAACATAGATAGATAGAAACGTTGACTTTGCAATATCTATCGTAACACCAAACATTGCTAGTGGTGAAACTGTCAACGTTGACTGTGACTGACAAAAGTTGACTTTAGCACGTTGCATCACAGTCAGGAACTGCAATTTTCCGACAAAAGTACAAAGATTAAACAAAGCCAACGCACACAATACACAAATTACGGCTCCACAGTTCTTTTTTTTTTGCTCAGTGCACTATCGCGAATTTCGGTATTGTAATGTTCACAAATATGCCGTCGAAAGTCCAGAAGTATGACACTGCGATTCAGAATGTGGAGCAGCTGATTACCAAGTGCTACCCTGAGAAGATTGTCGAGCTGAACGAGCTGCTCGGCATGCCAATGTTCAAGCCCCGAGATCTCGAAGAGCTGCGCCAGGAGCTATGCATTCCTGTCCTGCCTCCAGTGCTTGCCGAAAACCATTGCGACGGCTGCATCGATGATCAGCCTCAGAGTAAGCGTGCGCTCACCGATGTCATTGTCGCCGGATGCCCAGCTGTGACGTGCAGCCCAGTGCCTTGTAACAAGACGGTCTGCGAAATGATCAAAGTGGTCCAGACCATTGTCCGTACTCTGATAAAGCAGGGTAAGTGAACAGCGTGTCATTTCTTATTGGAGATCTTACGAGTTGTTGCATTTGCTTGCAGCAAATTTCTTGAATATGTGGATAACGGTACTGACTATACAATCCGGTAGCGCAATTTGCGCCTCCATCCAGGAGGATATCAACGATGAATTCAAGAAAATCGAGCTGAATGCAATCGACTGCTTCAAAATGATTTCGGAGTACTTCGCCGTACGCGACAAGACCCTTGCACTGGTGGCGAAATACCCGCACGCCGAGGAACACCGAAAAGCTGTTGTCGAGATTGATGAGAAGACTTGCCTCTCTCTGACGAAAGTTGTCTGCGACGTGCGGAATAACTACTCCTTACTCATCGACGTCGCCACCAAAAACTGGATCAAGCTAAAGAGCTCCTTCAATGCCAATACCTATTCCTAATCATTTATATATGTATGTATGCATATGTCTGAAGTATATACATGTATACGTGTGTTTTCCCTGTTGCGATGGTCCTCGGAGCGTGGTTCACCGTAAATTGTGTAATGCCGCTGGCGAGTGATGCTTACCGAGAATATTTTAGCATATAAAATGATCAATAAAATATGTAAAAAATGATCTGATTATTTCTTTTATAAAACCAATCGCAAAATATCAAATTTATGTCATTCCAAAAAAAATTGTTTTTGGCATTCAAACTGTACATTTTTGCGTTTTCCTTTTTGGAATAGCTTTTAAAATACCATTGGGTGGAAAGGCGCCTTTAACTGCAAAACTTTTCCATTAAAATGCTCAATACAACAACAACAATTATAATGAAAAAAGACCAGCCAAAAAAGTTGCAGGCCACGCCCACTGATGTTGAAAAGAAGGCGCACGCCCGAACTTTGGCGACCACCATCAAATGCACTTCAAACTCATTTCATTTGGAAAATAAAAACCTGAACCGAGCACTAGGATAAAAGACAACTGGAACCGAACCGAACCGAAAGCGCAGCTACAACAGCAGCAGCCACCGACGAGAGTGGAAAGCGGGAAAAGTTAGTTTGGGAAACTGCTATTGTTGTTGTTGCCGGCCGTCAAGTGCGCGTGACTTTTTCGGGAGCTTCAACAAATTTCGGTTGAATAATTTAATTGTTTCCAAAAGGAGAGGGGAACAGACAGAATACGAGAGAGAGAGAGAAAGTGTGGTGGATGTGGGGGGATTGGTTGGGATTTTGAGTGGGTGAGGATGAGAAAAACCTTGACTGAAGGCAGCGACATTAGCAGAAGTAAAGGAAGCAGAGGCAGCGGTGAGGCTGTATGACATTATACTGAATGACTTAGTTCACTAATTAAAAAGCCTTATGAAACATTTAAAACTCAAGAAGTCAAAAGTATAAGTGAAATTGTACCATTTGGATTGATTTATTGCTTGCCAAAAGTAAGTTCTTCTTCACAGATAAATTTACAAATTGTCAGTGCAGTATGTACTACAATTCTCAATATTGTTCTGAAAAATCCCTCTTTAGAGATTGTTAATGTCTTAATGCCAAAATTAAAGAGCGAATCATTAGCAAGTTCACTGAATGAAGTTCACTGTAAAGTGTCATACAGAATCAAGCAGTGCGAGGCGAGGAACAGCAATGAAAGGAGCAACCGTAACTTTTTCTTCTCTCCTGCCTGCTCCTTTTTCTTCGTCATCTTCATCTTGCCCCGTTCGTTCGCTTTTTGAAATAAGCGCAAATAAAATATGCAAAAAGGCGTAGCGAACTTTATGATATTTGACTTTGTGTGGAACGCTAAGGAAAAAAAATCACACGAAAAAAATGTGGAATAACCGAAAACAAAAATTCCAGTCGAAAAAAAAACGAAGAAAACTTTTATTTTAAGTTCAAGTTAACTTTCTGGTTAGAATGCTGCGGGGTAAAGGCAAAAGAAAAATTCTGGTAAAGTGAAAGGTGGGTGAGGGATGGAGGATGGGAAGGAATCGGAAGGTAACAGGGAGTTGGCAGGAATTGATGGTCAAGTTGTGGGATTGCTGATACCACTCAATATAGAAAGAGATTGAAAGGAAACCCTATAACTGATTGAGGTATTTTAGCAGTATATACTAGTTAAAATAATAGAAGTGTAGGAGCTTCATCGGATAAAAAGAGCTTTGGACCACCTTAAACTAAACTTCGATTGAAATTTTTATTCTCCCTATAACCAGTATACCCCAATAAAACCCTATAAAAATGTATACGTTTGTACATTTATCCAGCTATTCCTCACCTGTTTTTGTTTCTTTTCTTCTTTCTGGTTTCCATGTTTCTGGTCTTTTGGGCAGGATTTTCATTTTGGAGGTAAAAGAGCAAACGAAACGAAATAATTTATTTGCAAATCAAAGTTGGCAGCGCGTTGCGTATATTAGCAATGTGCACTCCAAGTCTACACCATATAGGGCAGGGACTACGAGCTGTGAAGGGAGCCATGTTTTCGGTTAGGTTTTCCTAGTCGAAAATTTAATTTTCCAACCCTCTCTCTCTCTCTCACTCTCTCTGTTACTGTGTTTTATTTATGATCTTGATATGCTTATTCGTACCTTTCTGCAAGTTTTCACAATTCGACTTGGAGTCATATTTCATATTTCTTTTCTTTTACTCGGCAAAAACTTGGCCAGCTTTTCATGCTGTGAGAGCGGCAGCTGGAAGAGGAAGTGGGAGCCTGCTGGTTTTACCTTTTGCTACCTTTTAGCCAGGTTTTGCCTCGCTTCGCTCCTGCTCTCCTGCCTTTAACATATGACTTCCGTAATGTTTGCGTGCACAATGAATAACTTACTTCTATGTTATCCTTTTGTGCTCATACTCCTGCGTGTGTGTGTGTGTGTGGGAGCATACGAAGGACAGAGTGGTTCCTTGGTTGGTTAGAGTACCAGTACCAGTACGACTACGACTACGAGTAGGAGTACATTTTAGATCCATGGCCCCAGCTGCGCTTTAAGTCATAATTTTGCATGCAAGCAGCTGTCGCTGCTTAAAAATGTAAGCTCGGTTGCTCCTAGATTAAGTTTGCCCCTTCAGTTCCATAGTTGCCCCAGAGCCACTCCACCACTGTTCCACTTTCAGACGCCACTCCACTCTATCCTAGACAAACAATCTGAATACGTTTCCATCAGTAATGAAAGTCATGCAGAAGTATGGCCAAGCCAAGTTGTTTAGCTTCTCCGTTCAACTGAAATTTAAACAAAAAACTTGTGGCATCACAAACATTTTCATATTGCGGTTTCAGTTGTTGGGAAAGACTGCAAAAAATTAGTTTGGAAAATAGTGAGAAATTTAGTCGAGGCTTGTGCTTCTCAGTCCCAGATAATGATTCAGAAAGAGGCAGACTGTAACGTTTTTCGTATTCATCTTTGTGATACAACCGGCTTAAATAATTGATCAACATGGATTGATTCTGCTGCAGCACAATCAACAAAGACACACATCAAACGCTTCCACACATGAATCTCAGCTCGTTAGCCATTGTTTTCCATTGTTTCAGTTGGAAATTTGTGTTGTAATCAGCGAGTTTTGGCCCAAATTACATTTATCAAAGCAGCAAAGCAACGACAGTGACAACCTGCAACAACAGCAAAAGCGATAAACAAATTACGTTTCTTTTTGCAACTAATCAAAAGTAATCACTTTGCAATTTTGGCTCGGTTCGGCTCTCTCTGACAAAAAGACAAACAAAAAGTGAGCGTCCCCCCCACCGAGGGAAAATTCCTGACACAAGCAGGAGACCCTTCCCAAGGGCTGTGGATCTGCTTATGGCTTGGGGAAGTAGAAGTACCATCAACAGCTGCCATTTGCTGCTGGCATTCACATCAAGAACAACAAAAGTATCAGAGGAAACGATAGTAGAAGTTTTAGATACCCTTGAAGATCTATTCAATTGATTATATGGTATAAATCAGCAGATATTGGTACATGCGAGTATATTGATTCATCTGACTTGAGTATGAGTCTGAAGAGCCTTCCTTTTGTTAAATACAAACGTCTGTTCAGAATCACAATGCCCTCTTCCAGGGTATAACAACAGAGGAGACACTTTTCCGCCTATCCAGGAGTCGGCTGGAGAGGGGAACATACGCGACAAAGTTCGACAAACAAAATCATGATAAATGAACCCAACCAACAGGCAAACAAACCAACAGAGAAAAACTGAGAAGCGAACGGAGAAAGCCGAGAAAACTGAGAAAGGGGAAAACTTTTTGTCTCTGTATGTGTGTGTGTGTGTGTGTGTTTAATTTGACAAAAGAGCGCAGGAAATTAGCGGGAAAAGGACAAGAAAAACACAACTCGCTGATTGAAAGGGGTTAAGCTTAGTCGGAGAAAGGGAGAATTAGGGGAGAGTAAAGAGCTAGGAACAAGACGGAGAAAAGAGAGGAGTCGGTACTGACATTAGCTATGCAACATTTCTATTTGGAAAATAGCCTGCGGGCTAGACAAACTTTATACAGTGAGTTCTATATGAGTATTAATTTTGGGTACATAGAATTCTCATATTTATACATAGTAAATCGTTGTCGCCATTTTATTGAATATTTTATAGTTATTATTACTTATAACTTTTCCGGCCAGAAAGTCGTCTGATTCCCGTTTCGTTCGATAGAGTTCTTACTGTATCTCCAACCCCACTCCAAATACTGTTAGCCAGCCTTTTGTTTGCTCAATCGACGCAAATAATTCAACGAGTTATTACAAAAGCTAATTACAACTCTCTTTAGCCGCCATCCAACCCACTAAGTAATTATGTTTTCCAAAAACATTTCTGGGCAAAGGCATGCAAAAATATTTCATGTTGGTCCTAGCCAAAACGATACATTTTCCTTTCCATTTCGCAGTACGCATATATTTCCACACATTTTCAGTGTGGCTGGGGGCCCCAAACCCCCAATATGCATATTCATTAGAACAGAAATACAAATACTATATATGGGTGTTGGTAGGGGGTAGAAGGACTCACATAGTGTGGCATTCATGTCGCAGACAGTGAAAATGCATCGATTAAGAGCCACTAAAATATTTCGCAAATTAACGAACTATGGAATAGGTCGGAGATAAATAATGGTTGTTGGCTATCGCTACGTTTCTCCTACCCCAGAAATAAATGCCAAAAATTTGTTTTAATTTATGCACTGCAAAATCGAGAATAATTTACCACAATTCGATGATCAACTAATCAAAAAGCGATGGGAATTTTATTGGATAAATTCGATGGGATGTATCTATAAATGGTGAAGGAGAAAATTAAATGGGAAAAAAAGTAGTACGATCCCAGTATCGTATCAGTATTTTTGCTACAAAGGCCAAATAACTTTCGTTCGTATCGTTCCATTTAAATGATTTAATTTCCTTATGGAAACTCTGAATAGCAAATCAACTTCATTCTCGACACTGACTGCACAACACCTAGACTGTTACATTTCCTTACCTAAGCTTTCAGTTCTTTGCTTTGCCCGATTTCCCACTGGTCACGACCCTCGCAATCATAATTCAATAATTCCGCCGCCGTCATTAGGGCAACTTCAGCAACTGTCCATCAATTAGACATGAGCGCAATCGCCGTCTCGTCTGGCGCCGGGGCTTAAACGACTTTCTG